TGATCTGTGTTTAATTTACAAATCTTCAAATGCTACATGTCTTTCTGGTCCCCCTTTGTTTTAATTTGTTTTTTGGTTTTCTGTATTTTTTTTCTTTGGTTGCAGACTTATTCTGAATCACGTGGTCACAATTTCGCACTCAATGCAACATTTGATGACATTGAATTTAACAAATATGATGGATTAATAATACCAGGAGGACGGGCACCTGAATATCTTGCTATGGATGCGTTGGTTTTAGAATTGGTGAGAAAGTTTTCTGACTCCTGAAAGCCAATTGCTTCGGTTTGCCATGGGCAACTTGTCCTAGCAGCTGCAGGCTCGGTTAAAGGTAGGAAGTGTACGGCCTTCCCAGCTGTCAGACCTGTACTTGTTGCTGCAGGTGCTTATTGGGTGGAACCTGAGACCTCGTCGGCGTGTGTTGTTGATGGTAATATAATTACTGGGGCTACATATGAAGGCCATCCTGAGTTCATTAGGCTTTTTGTGAAGGCACTAGGAGGTAACATAACTGGTTCAGATAGGAGGATCCTGTTTCTCTGTGGGGTAAGTTTAATTTTCCTTCGTAGTGCAATGAAAAATATGAAATTGTGATGCCGATCAATATTGAGTATATATAGTATCGAGATTTGCCCTTTTACAGATACTTCTGAAAGATAGTGAAAATAACCTGAAAGGGCTTTACCAGATTTGCCACAATTCTGGTTTGATAGGGTTCCATCATTCATTCCCATGTGTTTTTTCAATGTTTTGGTGGTATGCTTCATTGGTCTGCCTACCTGGGTCCGTTGCCCATTCGAATACTTGTTTGTCAGGTCATTTGTGTGAGTTGTGAACTTGTGAAAGTAAATCCAAACATGCATACTGGTCATTTTTCAAGTTGTTTGAATTATGGATTCTAAACATGATACATAGACAAGTACATCCTCTATGAATTTTAAAAGACTTCTTTACTTTAATTTTCCGGAAAGTTGACCACTGAAGAATTTCAATTCCCTCCTTCCCCCAAAACTGAATACCTCCAATACCCAAGCCAATTAGGTCTCCAAATTCGAAATGCTACTACTGCCCTAGACCCATAAATTAGTTGCTGTCAGATTTCATAAGAACCTATTTTCTTGAAACCAGTTGTTTGTTTTTCCTTTAAAACCAAATCCTTTGAAGCATACCTAAACTTCTCTGCCTACAGTGCCAAAAGTTATACAACTTGACAAACCTTAACGCCCACCACGTTTTGTAAGCTGGTTATTTAACAGTGATAAGATGGTCCATAAATCAAGATTGGCTACTTGACAAACCTTAAAGCCCACCAAATTCAAAATATTATTTTACTTGTCAATATCAATAGTGATAAGATGGTCGATAAATCAAGTTTGGCTACGTGTTTTAAGTCACTGTAAATCTAGTAAACCCCTTGACAAGAACATTAAAGCTGCATGTTGTTTGTTTATGAACTAATTGTTATCTACGTATTATTCTAGTCAATGATCAAAATTTTATATTTCTCACAGTTACTAAGCATCATTCACTCTCTCCCTCAACACTTGTAGGACTTCATGGAAGATTATGAGGTAATTGTGCCTTTTCAGTCTCTTCAAGCTCTAGGATGCCATGTTGATGCAGTTTGCCCCAAGAAGAAAGCTGGTGAAATCTGTGCAACTGCTGTCCATGATTTTGAAGGTGACCAAACATACAGTGAGAAGCCGGGCCATAATTTCACTTTAACAGCTGACTTTGAAGCTCTAGATGTCTCAAGTTATGATGCTCTTGTAATCCCTGGAGGTCGAGCCCCAGAATATTTGGCGTTGGATGAGAAAGTTATTGCATTAGTGAGGCAAACTGTGGAAGCCAGGAAACCAATTGCATCCATCTGCCACGGGCAGCAGATTTTAGCTGCTGCTGGTGTTCTACAGGTAAGGTTACTCCCTTTAAGCTAGGCTATGCCTTTGTTTCCAGAAATTTGATCCGAATTTCAATTTGGTCCATATTCTTTAAGTTTCTCAATCAAATCCGACTATTTCCATATTGTTTCAATTCGGTGCATCATCAAACGTAGTATTGATATTGTTAAAAATATTACTGACTTTCTATAATTCCATGTAATGCCGCCAAAGGAATTGCTCCAATAATTGGGTTCAACTGAAACAAAGTGAAGCTGTAATCCCTGTTTAGGTGACAGTGTAGTTTTATTGTATCTATAGCTCATCTTTTAATAGGGATGGGTCCCATGTTGTTGGGATCAGTCCCATGCTGTCCAGAAGTTCAATCTAAAGTCCAAGTTGATTTCTGAAACTAAATGAGTTGAAAGTGTACAAAATGCAGAAACAATAATTTGAAGTTAATTTGTTAGGCACACAAACAAGGACGCAAAATCCTCATTAACAATCCAAAATCATATAACAAAATCGAGATTATAAATTTTGGAATTTTAATGTCCAAGCATGATATGGTAGATATGGGAGATGCTACAATGAGGGGGATCTGAGTGGGGCGTTTGAGTGAGGGGTTCAATCCAACCATCCAACCATCCAATCATTAAAAAAGTTTTAAGTTCAAAATTTCCTTTATATTATTGGATAGTGGTATTGAACCCCTCACCCACAACCCCTCATTATAGCATTTCCGTGGTAGATATACATATATAATGTAGATTATAAAATTTTAACTTACGCTTTTTAACATCAACTAAAATGCTAGAGTAAAATTAATTTTTTGTGTGGGAAGTTTAACCAAAAGGACAATATACAGATAATCTGTGGATTTATTTGTTCTTTTACTCACTATCAATGTAGTTGATGGTAAATTTAAATGTTTGTTCTGTTGTGGGCGTTGATGAGCAAGCTTGCCAATTGGTGCATGAACATTTGTGCTGTAATATAAAAGTCAGAAGGTGTGTACTGTAATGCAGAATTTTCTGAAGGAATATATGAAGTAGTAAAAATCTATGCTAGATGGAATGGTTTAAGAATGGGGTAAAACAAGAAATTACCTAGTAAGGAAAACCAAAAGGCTTGGCTGAGCTAGGCAGTTTCAGTTTTTCAGGTGTTAGGAAGAGTTGGGAGTGTCATCAATTTTGTAAGAGGGTTGATTTACTGAGTGAGTATTTTATGACAAGGTGAAAAAGAAACCACCTTGAAGTTGTAATCTGTTTGCCTTTTGCTGATTCTTCTGATTGAGGGTTGATTTACTTATTTTCACATTGTGAACTTTTTTTAATCATGTCCTAATTGTTGTTAACTGGCTAAATTTTAGGGAAATGCGTATCCAGCGGTTAAGCTTAATGTGGTTTTTTCGGGAGCAACATGGCTGGAACCTGATCCAATAGATCGTTGCTTCACGGATGGAAATTTGGTTACGGGAGCAGCGTGGCCGGGCCACCCAGAGTTCATTTCTCAGTTGATGGCATTGCTTGATATTCAAGTATCATTCTAGCTGCTGTTTACCGGGTCAGCTGCTTGCATGTACTATATGTAATTCATGAAAGAATAAGGCATGTATGTTGTGTTATGTTAAGGTGACGTTTGTATATATGTGAGAACAAGTGACACCCTGGTTTTGATATGTATATGCCATGTTCCATGCAAGTTTGGTTGTGGGTGAAGATTGTATTATACTACTTATGCTTTAGAAGGACACTATGATTTATTAGTCGTCGGTCCCCTTGGTCTCTATCTCTCTCACCATACACCTCGAAGGTTTACCTGAATAAATATCATGTTGTCCAGAAATTAGTTGGGAGTGGATTATGGTCTGCGTGTTTAGAAATTTAGAGAGAGAGAGAGAGGAGAAAAAGGTGTGGTAAGTAAGAGAAAAAAGCAAGAAGGATCATCAATGGTGAAAAGGTTGAAACACGAGGACGGCTTTGTAGCATGCCACCGCCAATTTGGAGACTTGACGAGTTTTACTATCAGCAAAACAACAACAACAAACCCAGCTCTGAATTTCTCCCACAACACTTCGGAATTTCATCCAGTTTTGGGATCAGACGATAGTTCTTTGAATTTACGACGATGATGACAATGATGGAGAAGATGGTGATGGCAGTCATGGATCTGGGTAGGGGGTGGTGGCTAGGAGCGTTTTACGGTTCGAAATATTCTATTTATAGAGTATAGCCGCGCGGCTATACTGTTAACATATTCTATTTATATATTATAGCCGTGCGGCTATATTGTTAACATATTCTATTTATCGAGTCTACCGGGCGGCTATAGTTTTAACATATTTTATTTATAGAGTCCTATAATATAGCCGCACGGCTATACTTCTATAGTACAGCCGCACGGCTATAAGTTTTACATATTACCCACACAGCTCTTTACATTGAGAGTAGCCCAACTCCTTATAAGCCCTTTCTAGGTTTCTCAACTTTCCAATGTGGAACTTTTTACCTTCACATTCTCACATAACATAAGTTTCCCTTTATCCAACACGATACAGTATCAATCCAGGTTCTTTAAGTTCACAGGCTTCTTCATAAGCAACTGTTGCACCAAAGCCATTCATTTCATTTCTGTGCAGAGTAGAGATTGGTGTTTACTAATCATCATAGACAACTTACATCATTGGTGTTAGGCCAGGCTTGAGGTGAGGCCAAAATTAAAAAGTAAAACAAAGGCTTGTTGTGTTGAAGGTCATAAACAATTGAAACAAACTGATGCAGAGTGGCCTCTCTGTCTCAGATCAGCATGGCAACTTTTAATTTGGAAGCATTCAATTTGATCTCAAAGGATCACAAGGTCAAAAGCATTTACTACTTATTTAATAGCAAAATTTAACTTGTCATAAATCTCATAATCTAACAGTTATAACTGTTACTTAAGCTCAGCTCATCAAAATAAAAAACAGAACTATAACTGAATTAAATTGTAATTCCATTTGTAACCTACTCGCCTGAGCATTAAACTCTTCAACTTGGCTCAGACTCGTTGCTCTTATATAAACCCTTTACTCTCTTCTCTCCAACCATCAACAAAGCCAATCTAGCTAACCTTTTTCAGATGTACAGCACAGAAGTGAGAGTTCCAAGTTTGCCAATAACCATGATTAGAGAAGCTCAAGCAATATTTTCACTACTGCTAATGGCAGCATGTGCAGTAACCGTGCTGGCAGATGTGCCACCATCACCACCACCCCTGACCTTGCCAAAGATCCCGGGCCTAGTGCCACCAGGGATCCCAATCCTATTGCCACCTGGGATCCCAAGCCTATTGCCTCCAGGGTTCCCAGGGCTACTGCCGCCAGGGAACCCGGGTGACATAGCAAAGTGTTGGTCATCACTTCAAAATGTTCCAGGGTGCGCATGGGAAATTTATACCTCAATCTCTACTGGTAAATTTGTAGTAGGCCCTGCTTGTTGCAAGGCCTTCCAAGCAATTGACCAGAATTGCTTGCTGAAAATGTTCCCATTATTTCCTTCATTTCCTCCATTGATCAAGAGCAACTGCGCTAAGTAAATGCTGCTGCTCCTAAAGCAGGTAGGTCAAAGCAGTAGTAGGCAGTTGTGAGGACAATTCTTGCGGGAAATAAGTTGCTTTAGTGATAGCCATGCTTAGTTTTACCTTTGGTGCCACTTTTGTAGGCTTCAAAAGTTTGGTATGTATTTGAAAGAAAACGGCTGCTGATGGACCTTTTAAATAAGAGAATAACAGCTTATGGTCTCATTAAATAACTCTCTCTCTCTCTCTCTCTCTCTCTCTCATGCTTCAAAATTTTGATTTGTATTTGAAAGAGAATAACTGCTGATGGATCTTTTAAAATAAGAGAATAACAGCTTATGGTCTCATTGAAATAAGTCTAGTTCGGCCAACTTTGTGTCTTTCTTCCCGTGGCCAGAAGAAAATGGAAAAAAGGGGCAACACTAACCTCTTTCCCCAGGTAAAAGTTACAAAGTGCAAAGAGAAAAGAATTTTATATAACACTGGGAATTGAATTACAACATTGTCCAAACAGGAAGAACAAGATCTTGATACAATTAATACCGTATTCTTGAAATCTCTCTACCCCCTCCCAAAAACAAAAAACAAAGAATGAGAAAGAGATGCACACTTGATGCAGAAAACATATAAACAGTGGTTTTCTGCTCTGTAGAAATTGTAAGTATTTTATTTGTACTTATAAATGAACACACAGGTATACTACTTTGTGAAGACAAACCACTCTTGTTATTGCTGTTCAGTTAGACAGCACAGACAATGCTCGTTGATCAGTTCCATATACCTGGTGAGGAGAAACGACTGTTTTTCAAGTTCATTGCTGAGTTAAAACTCCAGATGCCGCATATAAATGACACAGCCATAGGAAAGCAGGACCCGGAAGAAAATATATGGGAAACTGTAGTGCCCTTAAGGATGCGTAAAGAAGTGCCGCCACAAGATGCAGGAGCGCAGAAGGTGGTGTTTGGCTAATATACGAATCTGACAGGAAAATGTAGCTTTCCACTCTCACTGGGAAATATTACAAAGCACAGGAAAACCTGAAGAGAATACAAGTGAAAATTGAGAGACTATAAAGACACAAATTGTCAAGAATATATTCGGAAAATGCATCCATCAAATACTTGAAGTCCCAGATTCTCTGTTACAAGAGCATGCAAAGGAACAAACATACAACTGAGAGTTATCAAGGCTGAAACAAGAAGTAAATTAGTGCAAAGATAACGAAACCTGGAGATTTTAGTTTTTCTTCATAAAGCGCCATTTTTAAACACTGGTAAATACAAACAAATAGGCACATGCACTTAAGTGCAGAAGATAAACCCAGACAAAAAGATAAAAACACAAAAACAATTAGAATATAGAGAGAGGAATATATCCCTGATCTAAGTGGCAGGTTACATGGAGAGAGAAAGTAGGAGAAAGCAAAGCTTTAAAAAGGAAAAAAGATAATACGAAAGGTAGTTACAGAATGTAAAAATTGCTTACAGGACGAGACAATCTGCAGAACGAACACTTCCAGCTAATAAAGGCCCAACATTCTAAGCTCTGTCACATGACTGGGGTCTAACTCGGGGGCATTCTTATTATTTTCTCGGTCTTCTACAACATATTCCTGGCATCATAAAATTTCTTGATCCATCAGTTGAAAATATATGATAAGAGTTAAATGCTTCAAAAGAACTATTAGACTTAGTTTACAAATCATGCTATCCAGAAAGGCAACAGAAAAGATGATAATACAGCATACCACATGAAATACACTAGTAATACAAATTTCTTTTGGTAGTCTTGGTAAAACTTGTTCAGAAGTGCCAATAGAAAGATGAATATAGAGCAAGGATTTCCAACAAATGATCAAGGAAACTTGAGTCCAAAATGCACAAAGGTACCAGTTAATTCAGTTGGAATAATTTAAATACAGCTCTGTTCCACACATTATGTCTATGAAGAATCATATTACATGTAAAGCATACGATACGTTGCTATTTCTTTTGAACAAAAAAAATTAATTAAAACAACCTGAAAAAAAGAAGGTTCATAACTTAGAATATAACTGTTAGTCCGGAATGCCAGTAAGTTTCATTAGGAATAGTTTAAAGTTCAAAAGTAAGCTCAAAGTAGCAGTTAACAAACCTTTGTTAATTCTTGTTTGGCAAGAACATGGTAATGCCGTTCATTGATTCTCTGTCCACATATTATGGCTATGAAGAAGCCGTAAAGCAACCCCACCAAAACAATAGCTAAAACTGCGACAAAATAATAGATACTATTAGATTGCAATTAGTGTAATCATATTAAGGTAGGTAAAAACTCTCTTTTTCTTTCTTTCTTTTGGGGTAGCTAAAAGGTTTTATGAGAGACGACCCCTTCGCAAGAAATGGAATCATTTTCTGTGCACTCTGTGCTTCAACTTAAGTGCACAGCTCAATCAGAAACTCTGCAAATGATGATCATCTGGGTTTATGTGTCGGGGGATGTCTTACACAAAGAAATAACATATATTATAGGGAGTTCAGAGGGCAGCCAGAAGTTACATACCAGCCATAGTGTAAAACCCATATGGGTGCTCCTCATAACCAAACATCTCCCTTAGTTCATCTCCATAAAATTTGTATACCATCACTCCCAAGAATGCCACAATCTGATAAAAGCAAATATTCTTAAAAGTTTAAGACTGTCAGAACTAAGGAAGTCTTACATCTTCTTCTATAGAAGTTTGTTACTTGATAGAACTTGATAAAATAGAACTAACTGGAAACCTAACAGTAATGTTCAGAGTCACCAAAAATGGGAAAATTTAAAAACAATTAGAATCAATTCTAACAGTACCCTTCTATAACCCCAGTTTAAAATATAACAGCACCATACAAATGTCTTCTGTTACTAACTAGTTCTTCTGTAGGCCATGCAAAGTTAAATGAAACTTAGGGAAAAGCACCCTTTTTTTGTTGGGAAAACTACCTGTTGATAAAATGATATGAACAATATAAATTGTTTGTAAACATACCAGCTGCACGATAATGAAAATAAATGCATGGTCTCTAGCAACAAGGAACTGGAATTTCAATCTCAACCACCAGCGGTCGGGAGGGACATTTGCTCGTAATATGAACACTGCCCTGCATTCTGTACAATGAGCAAAAGCAAAGCCCTCCTGAAGAAATGAAGGATATGGATAATTAATAGGGAGATTCACTATTATACCCAATATAGGAGCCCAAATTATAAAAAAACCCTATATGAAATGGACTTTAGAAACACCCCCAAAGCCCATTTACAACATAACAAAAAGGCTTTTAACTTCTTTTAAATTACAAAACTGCCATTGATTTCTTAAAACAAACCCAACTCCAAAACCTCATAAAAAATCCCAAAACACTCAATAGGGCATCAAAGTAATTTAATAATCAAAATTAAATTCAATAGGGCTAGCTTTCATTTTTGGGGTTTTTTGGGGGTTCGTTATAGAAATTAAATGGTGTCGGGTTTATTTAAAGTTTTAGCGCTAAGAATGGGTATATAACCAAATATCTCTAATTGGTACCAAGCCTCCATGACAGAAAAATAATATTTAAAGAATAGATACAATTGCATTTATTTGACTGCTTTAAGTGCCTACACGATTATCTACAATTCCATTATTCTAAAAGAAAAATTCTGAAGAAAAAAAAATTCATCTGCAGGTCAGGAGGAAGGGTCAGCGATGAAGAAAGAAATCTTCACCTTTGTTGACCTCCAATTATCAAGACATGATCTATGGACATACTTCTGAGTACCTCTGCAATGGCATGGAGCAATTAAGTCTTCCCCTGAAAAATAAATAAGCACGCACCCTAACATATTTGAATTGCTGGCCACCTATAAAGATAGATTGAAAAGGTCCTGAACTACGGTTAACTGTTACATGCGTATCCACATCATCTAAACCTTTCTCTAAAAACTAATGGTGACAGTGAAACCAAAGATACACAAAGAAATGCCAGGAAATATAAGAAGAACCTTCTTCAGTATCAAGGCAAATACGGCATTGTGGGTGCTCGGGATTCACCAACTTCGAATTTTCATCGACATCCAGATTTTGTGACTCTTCATCATTAGCAGCAAAATCACCTTGCACAGCTGTAATTTCACATGAGGATGAAGATTCTGTGGGTCTCTGTGAAATGTCCGACTGACATAAGATGGGCTCACATTCTGTAATATCTTCCTTGCGACTATCATTTGATACTAATTGCATTGCGAAGAATGTTGAGTCAGGAATACAAAGAAAACGTCATTTCCAGTGCTGTAGCTCCTACAGACCATTTCAATCGGAACATGGAAACCTATAAAATAGACAAAAAGTACACCAGTTAGGAACCAAAGCCTGCATTACATGTCAAGGTGTTGTTACTTGTTAGATATGGAAATTAAAATCAATTCCAGTACTAAAAATAATAATCTAACATTCTAAACTGCTCTAAGAACTTTCCATAAAACATCCATATGGACAAGTATAAACTATATGGTCTTTCAAGTTCAACACCCGACCTCTACTCCAATCAACATTCATGTATCAAAACATCTGCAGAAATTTTGATGATTCGATAGTAGAAGGCTAAGGATGAAGATACCAAGTATCAATCAAGAACAAACAGAAGTTCTTAGCAAAAAATGAATATGTCTCTAAGCAGAAGCATAGCAAACAATTGATATTGATTACGTTCATAGGTAGGATACAAACTCTTGCAACCAGCCTAACATGTAACATGAGTCTAATTACCAGCTTATGATAAAAATACGTTCTTTGCTTTGAATTTCTTAAAGAGATAATCCCTTTCTCAGTTTGGCCATGACAATTATGTAAAATTTGCAAAAATTTCCAACTTTACTAATCTGTAGAGAGCATCAACTTCAACTCCAGCTTTCAAGTTCCCTAATTATACAACTGTCCATACAAAGAAGCTTCATTTGTTCCCCCAAAAAAAAAAAAACCAGCGAATGCAATAAATATATTTTATGCAAATCAAAATCCAAAAATGTGATGAACAAAGTACAAAAATCACATCGAAAGTTTCGGAATTTAACCAACAAACTAGTAAATTTCGAGCAAAGATTGAATCTTTTTTAGATCAATTAAGGGGCTGACCTGCAATTTAGCAATACAGGAAGATCGGCATGGCACTGAAACAATGCAGGCATCAATTGGATGAACAATTTGAGAATCGAATTCTAGGGTTCTTATGAATTGAAGTGATACGGTGGACTTTGAAGGGACCGAGGGTGATCGACAAAAGTTGGGATTTTTTTGTATTTGTTTTTGTATTTTTAATTTAATTTTAAATGCAGGCCTTGGAAACAGACAGATGGTGTTATTGCAGGCAAAAGAAATGAGAAATCATGCAAACATCAAAAGATAAATAGATTTTGAATACTAAATAAATACAAAATCATAACAAACAAAAAATATGGATAAAATCTGTACTACCAAAACAAAATATGTATAAAATACCTGAGTGTATAATTTGAATATTTTATTCTATATTCAGTAAAAAAGTCAGCCATAAGTATAGACAATATAAATGACAAGTTTATAAATTGGATACGTAAAAAATATGTCCAAAAATACAACAATGCTTATGATATGAGCTCACATTATTTTTTTGAAGGAAATAATAATAATAAATTGTTGTTAGGATAAAGAACTTGGTGCCACTGATTCAAGGCAAAGTCTTGGTTAAAAAGGTTTTTGTTTTGCAATATTTTAATACAAATTTATAAATAAATCCAATTCTAGACATGTATTTATAAAAAAATCCAAACACTATTTAAACATAAAAACACACCCAAAATCAACAATTGTATATTTTTTGGGTGTGTTTATAAAGTGTTTTGAGTGTTACGTTTTTTTATAATTTTAGCCTCCATTTTGGGTATTTTAGTGAAACTCCCATATTTTAATGGCTTTTTATCACAAAACGTTTCTGACATTTGCAAAACTATTATATTGCATCCTTAAAGTTTTTTTGTATTACTCATAGTCCATAACATTAATATAAATGCTCTTAAATAGTCCATCCATAAAAAAAATTGTTAAATTTAAAGATATAGTCGTCAAATTAATCCGAAATTATAAAATATATATATTATTTCCTTCCTCCCGTCTTTTTCTCTCTTTTTGTTTTTTCTCTCTCTTCTTCTTCTGTCTCCAATTCTCTCTCTTTTTCTTCCTCTGTTTTTCTGTTTTTCTTCTTCTTCTTTATTTCTTGCTTTTCTTCTTCTTATCAGCACCTTTCTTTTGCTGAGACACTGGAATACTCTCTCTCTCTCTCTCTCTTGCTGAGACACTGGAATACTCTCTCTCTCTCTCTACCTTGAGCTGGTGGTGTGTGATAGTAGTTTGAACTTTGAAGCCTTCCACAGTTCCATTTTTTTTCCTTAGCTTCTTCTTCTCAGGTTAATAGTTGGTGGGGGTGGTGTTGAGGAAGAGGGGGATTATAAGAGAAGGGAAAAAGAAACTAAGTGGTATTCTGGTTCTGAAGATAAGTTGTCACAAACTAAGAGGTGGGTTGGGGGGTGGGTTTTGGTCAAGTGATGAGCTCAGGAGCTTGTGCTGTTCAGCAGACCCTCACAGCGGAGGCTGCTTCAGTTTTGAAGCACTCTCTCAGCTTGGCAAGGAGGAGAGGCCATGCTCAGGTCACTCCTCTTCATGTGGCTGCCACTTTGCTCAGCTCAAGGACCAGTCTTTTGAGGAGGGCTTGTCTCAGGGATAAGGAATCTGGCAGAGAGAAAGAAGAAGAAGAAAAACAGATAAACAGAGGAAGAAAAAGAGAAATATAAAAGAGGAAGAAGAATCGGCCAGAGGAAGAAAAAGAGAGAATTGGAGACAGAAGAAGAAGAGAGAGAAAAAACAAAAAGAGAGAAAAAGACGGGAGGAAGGAAATAATATATATATTTTATAATTTCGGATTAATTTGACGACTATATCTTTGATAGACTATTTAAGAGCACCTATATTTACGTTAGGGACCATGAGTGATACAAAAAAAAAATTTAAGGATGCAATCTAATAGTTTCACAAACGTTAGAGACGTTTTGTGATAAAAATCCTATTTTAATTTGCCCATGTTATCTGTTAGACTGTTACTCTTGAACTAATTTGAAGTGTCTTAAAAAACACAATTTTAAGATCTACTTGAAACTGAAATCAATATCAACGGGAGTCTAGCCCGGTGGAAAAGGACCTTGATTTGCATGTTCAAACCTCTATAGCACTATGGTAGTGTGTGAGAAATACCCCTCCCCTTAGAGCAAGTCCACCCTTGCTTCAAAACCGAGCAAAAGGCAGCTCAGGGGGGAAGGAAGCAGCTCCAGCGCGCAAGGGCCAACCCTGGCAAGAGCTGGGTCCCACGAGCCCAGGCAAGCCCACGGGCAAATTCAGCCCGAGCTGCTGCCAGTGCAAACTGATGCAATGCTGACGTCATAATGACGTCAGCAACCCAAAAAAAATGAAAAAAAAAGGAAAAAAATATCAAAAATTCCGGAATTTTTTTAAATAAATACCTAGGCATATTATTTACTTATCACACCAAAAACTATATACAAATTCATCTCCTCATATCTCATATGAATAGTATTTGCCTTAGACTTGCCATAGATTTAGCTCTCATGGGTGAAACCACAAATGCAAAGGCTGACACTATTCACGTGAATAGTAGCAGCCCTTGCTTGCCCTTGCCTTAGACTTAGCCCTTGTGGGTGGAAGTGCTCTTATAACTTATACTATCACTTGTACTTAAAAATAAATAAATTGAAATCAATAAAAAAAAGGGCCACAAAAAATATCATTGTTTTTAAAATAACGTGTATCTGCCTGTATCATATTATATTCTCTCTCTCTTTTTTAATGTTCTTTTTGTGTGTTCCTCTGTATATGGGCCGGCTTTTTTTGTATATTTCATTTATTTTTTGGTTCTTCAGGGACTGGTTATGTATATGTACTGCATTGTGAGCTGTCTAGCTGTACATGATCTGTCTGAGATGATTTTGCAGAAACACTATAGTAAGTGCCTGAATTAATTCATAATTTTGCTGCATATATAAGTAAATAATAGCAAACCAAGTGACCAAGAATCTCTCTGATTTTTTTTATTTTTTTTTATGAGACAATGTGAATGTGCAAAGAATGTTATTTGTTACAAATATCACTCATTCACTTTTGCTGCAGGCCTCCTCTTCAACTAGTTGAGGGTGAAAAAAACGCATCTGATGATTGATGGCTGGTTACATGAGTTAGAACGCATGTTAGAACTTAGAAGGGATCAACTTGCAGCTTTAAATCTCTGGCAAATCAATTGGAGGCAAAACCAGAGCAAGCGATTTCACACTTTGACTGCTCCTGCTTTCTTTTGTCATATCTGTTCTGTATTTGTAAGAAGAAGACTAGGAAGACTTAGAACCACAGTTGCAGCATTTTTCTATAAACCACTTTAACCTGTTTGCAGAAAGAGATAGAATTAGTCAAACTATAGAGAGAGAGAGAGATATATATATATATATATATATATATAATTTGGAAGAAGAACTTAAATTATATGATTAATTTTGTTGAACAGTTGAAGGGGGTTGACTTTTTATAACATTTGGACAGCAAAGCAAATACAAGTTGACATAGCATTGCATGCCTAACTACCAGTCAATTCATGGGTAGGTTTTCTTCTGTGGGTTTTAGGACTCATTTAAAGCCTTGTACAATTTAGAGTGTCTGTTTTGGTTGGTTTTGAAGGATTCTTGTTTGTGTTCTGGGTTTCCTCAACTTTGACTGGTGGGTATAGGATCAAAGAAAGGAATCAATGTGGTAACCATGAATCGATTCTCAAATTAAAAGGGGGGAAAAAGTAAAAAACCTACCAGTCAAAAGCCCCTATCAAGCTCCTCTGCATAGAGTCGACAGAATTTGACAATTGCTCATGAAAATATAAATCATGCCCAGAATGTGAAAAATCAATGACTTAAAGAGCACAATTTGAATACAGATATCTGCCCACTGAAAGTCCATCATCAACATAAATTGTAATGCAAAGCTAGATGTTGTGATTAGTTAATACTATTGTTTCATCCAATATGAATATGGTAAGCAAAATGTGTTGATGATTTTTCATCAAAATCCTGGTCATTTTGACTAAGAACTAGTTTCCCCTATTGCTATCTACATTGGCAAAGAGATATAGAAGGCACTTACAAGTCTGCAAGGCATGAGCTCCTGGAATCCAAATCCTCAGGGGGCCGCCGATAATCCAAGGAGAATGCTGAAGATGGCAGTGGAGGGCTAGAGAACTTCTGATCGTGATGCAGAAGAGGGAGGTTCTCAGCTGACGTGTGGCTCGACGGAGGTGGAGAGAAAGGCGGCGAGGGGGACGGAGACGCTGAAAATATGTACTTTTGGTTGCCAGGTCCTACACTGATGGGGAGGGGTGAGGGAGGTGTTGGAGGAGACGATGTTGGAGAAGCATAAACTTTTTTCCCATCATCCTCCTCCATTGAAATATTTTTTCTTTTCACAAAATACAAAATAATGTTCTCTCTTTGTTGGCCTTGGAAGTATGTAAAATTAGTGTTGCATCAGGACATGCCTTCTGAGGCAATCTCACTTTCCCGGGGGTTTTTCTGTTTGAATCTTAGGTATAAACCTAACGGTCATAGGCATGCTGTCCAGCTGCTCATTCCCTGTTGGGGTATATGTTTACATGCCAATTTGGTAAGCTGCTTCCATTTTCTTACATGGTTTTGGTTTTCTACTTTGGGCTGCAGTCAATATTTTTTTAATAATAATTTTTACCGTTATTGCTGTAATTGGCTCGCTCAATGTTCGATTCCTATGGATTGGTTCCGAAGTTGAATTTGGATTTCCGTTAAGTCTCTACATTTACAATAAAATCTAAGTTGTCAATGTTTTTCATACCTTTCATTTTGTTGGGTCTTATAAGGCCGTTTCTGTGACGATAGAGCCCATATGCCAAAGCTTACAGGCTCAAGGGGCACTAGACAAACAGATGCCTGTTTTGTTTTTGTTTTTGTTTTTTTTTTTAATAATTAGTTATTTATATGCACACATTCATCATTTTTATAGTCACAAAATTTTCACTACAGTGTTTCTAAATGATTCTAATGTTCATTTCATTCGTGTGTGTGTGTATATATATATATATATGTATGTATGGCACACACAATTGTATTGTTATTATGTTCGTTATTTATAAATTTTTATGGTACTAAAAATAGAGTTTTTATGCAAAGTGCAAAGTTTTTCATTCTCTTTTAGATGTCTAACTAAAATGTTGGAGGAAACCAAATGTTAGTATATATATTTTAAATTAGTTGTTGTATTATGTAATTTATTATTAATTAATAGTATTATAAAAAAAGACATGAAAGTCTAAATATATAATAAAATCTAGTTTTCTATATGAAGTCGGTTACACATGTACAATTCTCAAACATCTAAAAATGTTGTAAAAATGCCCCAAATTGAAATTATAATAGGCGAGATTCAAATCCGAATAGTTGGTGATGAGGAAATGGTTACCACCACCACCAAATTAATACCATTTATCTATTTTAGTTGTCACCACAAAATCAATATCATTTATAAAAGAAGGGATTCAATTTGTGTGGAAGGATGTGGCTCCATCTTGGTTGGGGACAATTTGTGAAAATGCCTAGTTCTTTTGTATTTGTCTTTATGAGATGAATCGTGGTACTCTTTTTTCTTGACCAAATTTTCCTCTCTTGAAGTTTTTAAAAGTAAGATTTTAATGAGGGTACAAATATGACTCCTCTACTGGTTGGAAGTCGATGTATTGTTTCATTATTTGTTTAAATAAAATTCTACCATTTAATCAAAAAGTATAAAAGTATACCACATCAATACGTGACATTTACAACCACAATTCTCGAAGGTACCTACACTACAACTTTGAAGTATCCTCCCTTGCCATCAAAACATTCTTTATCAAGTGCCTAACTTGAACAAATTGTTGGGATGTGTAGTGGAAATGAAAATTGCTCAACGATTAGGAGACCCTCAAATCCAAATATCTAATAGCGAGTTTAGGGACTTGAGATTGATGTAACCTCGCTCTAACAATTTGACCAACTTAACCCCGAGTTTTTTTTTTTCGTTAATATAATATATTGTTTCTCCCAAAGAGTTTCGATTTCTTGTTTTAGATTCTTCAATGAATAATATTTGGAGAAATTGGAGAAAAAATACCCCAAATTGCAGAAACGTTTTTGTACCATTTGTCAATTAGAACACCGTTCCACCACAAACGCATTAAAATTTCTGAACTCAATTTGAACTCCTACGCTAACCCATTAGTAACTCATGTTGGGTTGGGTTGGGTTGGATTCAGATTGAACTGCCCAAGTTCTGCAAACTTAGATCGCATGTTGGCCCACCACTAGGGGCATAATTGGAAATGAAATAAAACACCGTAGACTTGTGATGGTACGGTACGAGGTCTTCTCTTCTTTGGTCTGTCAACGATTAGATTAAAAAAACCTTCCCAAAAAAAAAATACAAATTTATAAATAAACCCAATCCTAGACATGTATTTATAAAAAAAACCCAAGCACTATTTAAACATAGAAACACACCCAAAATCAACCCCAAAGTCAACTTTTTGGGTGTGTTTATAAATGGGTTTTGAGTGTGTGTAATGATAGGTTTTGGGTGTGTTTATATGTTTAAATAATACTTGAGTTTTTTTATAATTTCAGACCTCATTTGGGTGTTTTAGTGAAACTCCCGAAAAAAAACCAGTTCGTTAGAGGCAGAGAGAAAATCAGTCTACACTCTCAGACTCATAGAGAGATCTGAGATAATGGGGGAGACGAATACCGTACATTCACCATTGGTGACATATGCTTCCATGTTATCACTGCTTTGTCTTTGCCCTCCATTTGTAATTCTACTGTAAGTTCTATGTCAATCTGTTTTGTTTCATTTTTTGTTTCTTTCTCTAAGAAATGAATTTTATGTTTGCTTATGTGAAAATACGTTTTCTTGAGGAATAATGATTATAGGAAATGATGGGTTATCGTTGTTTCTTTGGTTTGGTGGAGAAGTAGGGTCATTGAACCCAAATCTCATCTTGTTTTTAGTTTTCTCGTTTGTATCTATAGAAAATATTAATTTTCTGGGAAAATTGTTTCTAAAGAATGCAAAGCAAGATGAATTAGAGCTCGAACTGGTGCAGGGACATGGTCAGTTTTTTTCATCTTTTTTCCAAGCTTTGAATACTTTCAGTTTTTAAATCATATAAGATTTTTACATTTTATATTATACAAGGCCCTGAGATTATATTTGATGTTTATATATCAAATAGATTCATTTGTAATTTAATATCTTTTTGTTCCTTCGTTTTTATATTGCTCTGTTTCGTTGATGAAAAGAGGCAGGCAGAGAATCCCAATTGAAACTTTTAAGTATTTGATTTTGATTAGTTGGGACGCAGTATATAACTCAACATTAGTACAGCTAACCCGAGTTTAAGAAAATCCGAATCAGATTTTATGGATGTTAAAAAGCTTGAGTCGTTTGTGTGTTTTTTGTGGCTTTTGAAGAGATGATTTGGTAGGATAAGAAGTAGCAAGTAATCATAAAGAGAGTCAAAGTAGCGAAGGCATATTTTGGAGTTATAACAAACTGCATTTATTAAATTGAAACTCTGAAAATTCCTTTGTCTTTTGTTTATTTATTTTTTGTTTTTTGTTTTTTGTTTAATAGAGAAAAGGGATACTCAATTGATAAAACCAAATTGATTGTGATTGCTATAATCACCCTGATAGACTACAGATGAAATCAGCCACGGAAAGCTTAAAATGTCTTAATCTGAGTTAAGAGAAGTGGTGCTTAGCTGAATATTGTCAAAAGTGAGCTGATTCCAATTGCTAAATACTACAGTCACCTGTGTGATGCCCTGGAACTCCTTATCAATTAATCACTGTAGACAACAATTACTGCTACATGTTATAGATATAATTTATGATAATTATGAGTGGTTGAGATCAGAATCTGATACTTAATGCAGATGGTATACGATGGTACATGCTGATGGCTCTATTTCCCAAACTTGGGATTACTTAAAGCAGCATGGTCTGCAGGGTTTCATTGAATTATGGCCAAGACCTACTGCCACTGCCTGGAAAATTATTGCCTGCTATGGTGCTTTCGAAGCTGCACTCCAGCTGCTTTTACCTGGAAAAAGGGTTGAGGGCCCAATTTCTCCAACAGGGAATCGACCTGTCTACAAGGTGCTGGATACTCGGTTTCTTTATGTGAAAACTCTGTTGCCAAAGTGATTATGTAAACACAGGGTTCCAAATCTTTATCTGATGCAAACTCAAGTTATATGTCTTGAATGTTTTACAACCTGCCTTCTCCAAGTCAGTAGATTTTCAAAACTGTAAAAAAAAAATTCTGCATCTGGACTTGCATTGGGTCATGTTTTTGCCATTTTTCCTGCTATTTGTTAAATATGGTTATGTATGTATTAATATAGGATGTGCATTGTGCAGGCAAATGGTATGGCAGCATATTTTGTAACATTGGCTACCTACCTCAGCCTTTGGTGGTACACACTTTTTCCATCAATTCATAGTGTTTCCTTTTATATAATGCTGTGCATCCTTGAATTCATATACCTAGAAAGGCTGTGATAGTCTTTTTTGGGTTTCTTGGTGGGAAATACTGAGTTATTGACGCATTGGCCACAATTGTTGTCTATGTATTATTAAGCCCCCTTCCCCCATAAAAGTTTGTTATTTGTTGTCCTATCTGCCAAGCACCAAACTGTTTTCTAGTGCATTTGATGCCTTTTTCTATGTTAAATTTCAGGTTTGGGATATTCAACCCTACAATTGTTTATGATCATTTGGGAGAAATTTTTTCAGCACTCATTTTCGGAAGCTTCATTTTCTGTATTCTCCTGTACATAAAAGTGAGGGTTTTGTAATTACACCGAAATATAAGTTCCTCTGAATTTTAGTTATTTCTCTTGACACAAATTCTTTGTGTGTTCAGGGTCACTTGGCACCATCATCCACCGATTCTGGGTCTTCTGGGAATGCAATAATTGATTTCTACTGGGTAAGTGCCATTTTTTCTGTTTCATCAATTCAGTTCCTTGCCAGTGGTAAACAGTAGCAACTCAAATTTTAAGGATGGACAGATCTTTTAGGTCTAACTGAATATATACCCCTAAAACGTACAGATTCAGTATGTGCTTTGCTCTATTATTTATTAATTATGCTAAGTTGCACATTTGTGACTCTGCCTTCTGACTTAGTTTTTCAAAATATGTGTTATATCCTTTAACTCATACTAAATAAACCATGTAAAAAATGTTTCTTGACAAGCCAATAGCATCAATAACTGTGTTATCTTTAATCTATCTGAGCAACAGACCCCTGCTTTTCTTTGGTTACAAGCAGTTGGAAATGCACAAAAGAATTTATAAACTTCGTTTTCAATCAGGTTCTTAATGGACTGTATCCGAAGAATAACTTTGTCACAAGAGAATTTATGGAAATGTCACGGTCATGCTCTAGTATTTGATATCTGATGCAATACTATTTAAATTAGACTCAGTCAAGGTGAAAAGTACGTTTTGGCATACTGAATTACTGGAGCACCTGGTAGCCCTTTTGATATAATTCATCCTGATTAGACAGGGATTATTGTGTTGTATGCTATTTTTTGTTACTCTTTCGTAGTTGACTAGTTTGATGGACTTCTTGTCTGTATTTCCTTGCACCTTTTCTTTCATTTTATAAATTCAATTTTCCTGCAAGAAAAAAAAAATCGGTAAAGGCGAAAAGAAAATTAATGGACTCCATCCATACATTATACTTCATAGCCGCCTATAAATAGAATTATTATTGTACGAGATTTTTATTTTTATTTTTTTAATGAAAGTAATCTTTTTATTTTTGGATATGGTCTCATGTAAGAAATTAGTGTTCCCTTTTCATTTTTTTAGGGAATGGAGCTGTATCCTCGAATTGGTAAAAACTTTGATATCAAAGTTTTCACAAACTGCAGATTTGGGATGATGTCTTGGGCAGTTCTTGCTGTGACCTATTGCATAAAGCAGGTAAATGAATCTTCTCTGATATTTCTTTTTGTCCTTGTCGTTGAGGTCCAATATTTCACTTTAGTCACTATGGGTCGATTTTCAATAAACTTACTAGTTACCCTTATGGTAGTTAACATTTTCAAAGCCGTCCATATTTACATTTCCATTACATTAATTGATGGAACATGAATTTTTGCCCCAATTTCACCAAGGAAGAAAAACCTACGGGATGGAAGGATTATGAAGAAGATTAAATGTGTTCACCTTTTTAACATTTTTTTCCAACCATAGTTTTTCTAACATTTGACATTTTTCTTCTTCTTTTACCAGTATGAAGTTAATGGGACAGTAGCTGATTCAATGCTTGTAAATACTATATTGATGCTGGTTTATGTGACAAAGTTCTTTTGGTGGGAGGCTGGATACTGGAATACAATGGATATTGCGCATGATCGAGGTTCACTTATGCTCTACCTTTTACTTTTTCTCCATTGTTTGCTGTTGGCATGTCCAAGAGCAACCATCAGATGTGATGCCAATATTTGCCTTAATATTTGAAGGTTTTTTTTTTATAAACAAAATGAATTTTGCGGTCTTTTGGGGGCTGATTGCATTGATATTCTATTATGATGGGCTTTGTATTTACCAAGTTTGTTATGGTACTCTGTGGGCAAATTTTATACTGCATCCTTAACAACTCTGAGAATTTCATGTTGACCATCTTCATATTCATTCTTACCCCTGTAGATTGACCCACAATAATGTTTCTTATTCAATCAATTTTTTCTCATCCTTTACTTGGTTCAGTACGTGCTTCATCTGACTATGGTTCATTGTACTTTTGTCTCTGGCAGCGGGCTTTTATATTTGCTGGGGTTGCTTGGTCTGGGTTCCATCTATTTATACTTCTCCTGGCATGTACCTGGTCAACCATCCTGTAAATCTTGGAACTCAGGTATAATTTCATCCGCATATGTAGTTTGCCCAATTTATTAAAAGTTAACAATCATATGAAGGTGTGTTATAAGTTTGTCAACTTGTGATTTCCCTATTTTAAAGGCTTATGTCTTGGTCATGCACATTTTCTCTATACGTGGGGTTCATTATGCATGATTGATGGTTATTATCTAAGCTTCTGCTACTAAAAGTTGGCATGTCTCAATGAGCATGGAGAAAAACAGAATTAAGTTAACCTTTAGTCTTTGGTTACTGGTTAGGTTGTTTGAATGAATACTATGAGATGTTCTTGACGTATGACTTCAAAGAATTGAAAATCTTTACATTTGGTCTCATTGCAGCATGCACGAAAATTGGGATAAGATCTTGTCTTTATATGGGACAAGGTATTTTTCAGGTCGGAGAAGATTATCTTCTTATTGGAAAATAAGATTCAGTGCCAAAAAGGGAAAAAAATGCTCTGGAAAAATAAAAAGAAAAGAAAGAAAATAATTAAAACTTTAGCTAGTGAAAGTCAGGCTGTAGTTTTGGCAATTTGAAAGAATTGGATTTTACCCATAAACTACAGGAATTTTATGTAGGTATTACAAATTTAAATCCCTGTAAAGGCTGGTTTTTCCACAATGAATGACATTTCTTAGCTGATTCGTTTATTCTTTTCTTCCTTATTTGTTTCTGTGATCATTGGTCTCATATCTGACAACCTCCAACCTCATGTTCCAGCTAGCACTTTTTATTTTGGTGGCCGGGATTCTTTGCATATACATCAACTATGATTGCGACAGGCAAAGGCAAGAATTTCGCAGAACAAATGGCAAATGCTTGGTTTGGGGGAAAGCTCCATCAAAGGTATTTAGTCTTGTTAAAATTATCATGCGATTATCGTTATATGTACAGTTTGAGATATATTGACTGAAAAAAAAAATGATTTGTACATATCAGATTGTCGCTTCATACACTACCACATCTGGGGAAACAAAGACAAGCCTTCTTTTAACCTCAGGATGGTGAGTACTTTAGTTCTCTGTGGTAAATATGAAATTGTGCATGCACATATAACTGAGTTTTTGTGTCAGTGCTTTTTGTTGCACATGGAGAGTTAGTTGAGTGATGCTTTTGTTGGTCCACTTCTGTTCCTCTGCACATAGCGTAGTCTAATTCGTGCATATGTTATAATTTAAAAGATAAGCTGGCACTTTGAGCTAAAGTTATTGCTGAGGTTATTTGCTCTTCCTGCAGGTGGGGTTTATCTCGTCATTTCCATTATGTGCCAGAAATATCAGCTGCCTTTTTCTGGACTGTTCCAGCTCTTTTCAATCATGTAACCATTTATGTTTAGTGTTCTGTTGTTTTCTTTGTGTTTGTTGGGACGGGGTACTTGATACTTGGATGTTGTGGAGAACATCTTGCTGAATTTATTATTATCTTTTTCTCCTGCAGTTTCTACCTTACTTCTACGTGGTGTTTCTTACCATCCTTCTACTTGACCGAGCCAAAAGGGATGACGATCGATGTCGGTCCAAGTAAGCAGATACAGATGCCTGTTACATACAAATTTAGCTGACAGTTCGACGAAGACATATCATTCGAAGAAATTTTTTTTGAAAAAGCCATCAAATTATGAAATGGTTTTGAGCATTTTATATAATTTTGAATGAGATTTTGACGACGTTCTTCTTGCAGGTACGGGAAATATTGGAAACTATATTGTCAGAAGGTGTCCTACAGGGTCATTCCTGGAATCTATTGAAGAGTCCGAGTCCTTTATGCATCAAGCGACGCCTCTCGTTGAACTTAGTCTTTCTACTCTCTGCCTATCTGGTGAATTGGCAATGCTATTTATATCATTCCCCTTCAACTTACTTTCTCTTGATTTCGGATGTAAGTTTGGATGAGTTGTGGTATTAGCCAAGGAAACGTTAGTTATTTATGATATAGAATTTCAGGCTTATTTTAATGGCTCTCCAACTTGGATCTACCAGAGGATTTTTGGTTTTATTTTTCCCCATGAATTACCATTACGTCTATTTTCTTTTATTGGTTATGTTGGAGCGCATCGAACACTTGATCTAATCCATGTCATAACTCATTTTCTCACATTCCCTAGCCACTTGAGCTAACTCCATTGGCATAGGAGGTAAAGAACTCAAAGAAATTCGACATACTCCAATTTAAACGGTATACAAGGCATGCTAACTGAAAACCTAGTACTAAGATAACACAATGTAGAGTAGTATGAATTCTTCGGTGTGATTGTCACATTGCCAATTTTAGTCTAAGCCGCCTTCTTTCTCATGAACAGCCTCTCGAAGCTAACACCTCCCAAGAACATTAATAACGTATGTATAACTATTAGATCAAATTTGCAACCATAGAATAAACAACATCTAACAAACAGAAACTACGAGTTCATTGTCCACTTATATTATAACACATGCACACCGATATCATCCTCATTGTCCCTATATCACTTACAAACAAACAAAAGGATGATTATAGTCCCATCCCATCCTTAGATGAAATTACCAAGAAACGTTTTATTTTCTTAAAATTAGAAGACGAAAAAAATATATTGCTTAGGGCCATTAAAGCTAGCCAGAAACCCTAGAGGCTAGCCTTGGAGCTGCCCTATACCTCATCTACCAGCCCGACCATAGTCTTGCATAGCCCAAAACTTTTTGGTAGCTGTATCTTTTAACCAACAAGCAAGTAGCCCAGCCCGACGAAAGGCCTAGGCGTCCGACCCAAATCCCATATTTTGCCCAGCCGTCTTCAACTCCATTTCTCTAACGTCGCTTGTCTTCCTCCTCCTCATTGTTTCTCTTCAAACCCACCACAACGCCTCACCTCACCTCCATTTTTGTTCTTCAATCGGCTCCTCTCCTCCTCAGGTATTTCAAGCTCTTTCTCTTCATGCTTTGCTTGCTTTACTTGCTTTACTTTCGACGTCGCCATAGTAAGGGCTTGGAGTTTTCATCTTAACCATGTTTTTTGTAGTCTGAAGCAGTATCTGGATATCTTAGCTGAAAAATCAAGTCTTTAATTATATGGTGCATGTGATTAGTTTAGCCACTATTGATTGTAGCAGGTGGTGTGTTGGCAGATGTATTTGGAACCCCACTTACCTGACAGTCCCAGTTCAGCAGTTCCCAGCCGATCTTGGAGGCTTGTTTTGCTTATTTGCTCCCAATCCCCGAAGGAACAACCAAAACCTATTTATTTTTCAGCTAAAGCTTCATTTCATACAAGCTGCAGTAACCCAGATATTCACGGGCTCTCAGTGGTGGGCAAATGAAAGTAAGTGCATTTAATTATTTAGTTTTTTCCTATTGAATATTGATCGCTCAAAAGGAAAAGAATTGTGGGGTAAATAGGGCAATTTTAATATCAGGGGAGATTGAATTACAGAAAGTATGCTGGGTGGAACAACAAACGATTGCAAAATGAACTGGAAGCATTCAAATTTTATTAGATGTAACATTTGTTGAAACTACCCTACCTTTCTTTTCCTTATCATCGGAGGTATAGTTTGCCTACCAAAGCTTTCCATTTCCTACTCCTATCCTTATTAACAAGGTCGTTTCTATTCGTAGGGACATTCAAAATTTTATATAGTCACTCAGTTTTGATTACAATGCTATATTTACCTTCTCATTTTCATTCAATTTGTGTATATGTGGGACTAAAAAGTAATTTCACCCTCTCCTGTAAATTTCTTATGTAGTGCTTGGTTTGCAGGAAAAATCAAACTTTGATGGAAAAAGTATGGAGATTTAGATTGTGTTTTCTACACAAAGGGCCAAACCAAATCATCAGAGCACTGCGCATGTTGCCAATTTGCCACTTTTCATCTCCAAAGGTATGCCCTACTAACAAAACCAAGAAAATTTTCCAGGAAAATCTTGACCCAGAAAGAAGTAAATGCACTCTCACTCATCAGAATGTGCATTCCACTTTATTGAACTGTCCTTCGGATTTGATTGCACTGAGATTCTTCTTGTGGTGTGCTCAACAACCTAATTTTTTTCACAATAGGATTGTGTTTGACCACATGGTTGGTGTGATCAAGCGCGTGATGGAACGGTACAAAACAGTTAAATCGGTTGTTAGGGAATTAGCGACTGTAGGGTGTGTTATAAAATCTCAGACATTTTTGCTCTTGCTGAGGATTTATTGGCGTGGCAGAATGTATGAGATGGTCTTTGAGGCAATTGAGCAAATGGGTGCTTATGGTTTTACTCCAAACACGTTTGTGCGTAATGTAATCATTGATGTATCGTTCAAAATTGGGCGTGGTGATTTAGCTTTTAAGTCTCTGAAAGAGACCCAAGTGCCAAATTTTTTGACTTTTAATATTACGCTGTGTAATTTATGTAAGTTCAATGATTTGTTCCATATTGGAGATGTGTTGAGAATGATGTTGCGGTGGGGGTATCACCCAAAAGTTGAGACATTTGAGATGCTTTTGAACTGTTTTTGCAAAATGGGTAATATAGTGGAGGCGCATCAAGTTTTGGGTCTAATGATTACTTTGGGCGGCTCTATGTCTGTAAATGTTTGGAGTATGTTAATCTATGGGTTTTGTCGATTGCAGAGACTTGATGTTGCTGGTAAATTATTGGAAAAGATGGTTGAGACTGGTTCTTCTCCTAATATTGTAACGTACACAACTTTAATCAGAGGATTTTTAAAGTCTCACATGGTTGGCGATGCATTCAACGTTTTAAGTATTATGGAATCTAAAGGAGATGCCCCTGATCTGGTTCTTTGTAATGTGTTAATAGACTCCCTCACCAAGGTTGGGAGGTACGATGATGCTATTGATGTTTTTGTTGGCATGCGATCACGAAAATTGTCTCCCGATTCGTATACGTTCTGTTCATTGTTATCCGCCATATGTTCTTCTAGGAGGTTTTCTCTGTTCCCCAAGTTGGTTTGCGGACTTGACATAGAAGCTGACTTATTAGTATGTAACTCACTTCTCAGTTATTTCTGTAAGTCGGGGTTTCCAGCTCTGGCTGTGAAGTTTTATAAGGTTATGCTCGATAGAGGTTTTACAGCCGATAAGTATACGTTTGTTGGATTATTAAATGGACTATGTAAAGCTAGAAGAGTTGACCAAGCAGTTGATGTGTACCATGGGATTGTCATGAATTACCCTGGTCAGGATGCTCATATTCATACTGTTCTTATAGATGGGCTTATAAAGGTTCGTAAATTTGATAGAGCCATTAGCATATTTAAGAAAGTAGTTTCTGAGAGATATGCACTTGATGTTGTAGCTTATGCGGTTACCATTCGTGGACTTTTTATGGGTGGTAGAACTGAAGAGGCTTGTTCACTTTATCGCCAAATGAAGGAGGTTGGTTTGACACCTAATGAATATACTTACAATGTAATGGTCTCTGGCTTTGTTAAAGAAAGAGATCTTAATATGGTTAATTTAATGCTACGAGAGATGATTGAAGCGAAAGTACGACTGAGCTACAATACTGTCTTGAGATTATCAAAATTTCTTTGTAGATCATATAATTTGATTTCAGTTATTGACCTATGGATTGAGATGAGAAATTTGGGCTTGATATCTGCTGAGGTAATGCATGAATTACTTCCCGATGAAGTTGTTGAAGGTGTGAAAGGAGATGATGGTCACATTACATTTTCGGATGCTTATTCAGAAACTGATCTACATGTGGAGACATCTGGCTCTGAAGACTTCTGTGATGTGGCTGCTTCGATAGGTTGAGACTTATATGGTTAAGATATGCCTCTTGAATGTCTTTTCTTGGAAATTCACGATTTTGAATGCTATTTCGTCTAGCATTCTAAAGGTAATATTTGTAACTTAAATTTTGTATCCTGTCCAATTGGTTATGTTTATATTTCTTTTGGCTTTTAGGGTTTATTTTAAATGTAATCATTCAATTGGAATTCGTGGATTTCTTTTGGATTTCCTGGTTGTAGGTAGTATCATAAATTCAACTCAATTACATCAACCTAACTATCACCTTAACTATGCTAGTTGTGGTTACTTCAACCAAGAGCTTTTTTCTCATTCCCAAACTCTTGTGGCTTTCACTTGTTTCTTACAAATGTTACTACATAAAATTTCATAAATGGACATTCTAATTCGCACACAAAAGTTTGTGAATCATTAAGTAGTCAATTATTACTTATTAGGTGCACAAATTAGAATTGAACAAACATATTATTCTAACAAAATAAAAGGGGAACTTGTTTTATTAGTAATTAGGGGAAAAGGTACCGTACCTTATAATTTTACGTATTTATGACTTTTAGAGATGGTACAAATCACTGCTAGTTACCAATTATTGGAGTAAATAAATAGGGGGTAATTCAAGATGCTGATTATGTACTTCCTTCATCTGGATCCTTATGACTGAACATTAGAACGGTTTCTTCATTTGAATGGATCTCATCTAATCATGGCTTTTTCATGCTTCACTTGTTTCAGTTCATGCTTCATCTCACTATGATTTTGTATATTTGTTGGGGTTGCTTGGTCTGGGTGCTATCCATTTATACTTCTCCCAACATATACCACGTCAACCGTCCTATAAATCTCAAAACTAGTTTGCCTAAATAAAATTGTGAATTTAGTCACCATACTTCTGCAAAGTTTCTGAAGGTGTATCCTAAGTTTGTCAACGAGTGATTTCCCTATTTGAGGGATGCTTTTTCCTTGGTGAATATTAATATTTGTTGGTCATGTTCCTGGTAGTTATTGTGGACAGTGGATGCTCAATGAGCATGGGGAAAAAAGGGTTAACTTACTGTTTAGGTTCTTTGGATAAATATTATGAAATGTTCATGAGACATGTCTTGAACAAAAATAATAATACTAATAATAACTTTGCGATGTCAAAGTCCTGGATTTTAACCAAGATTTGCAAGAGTGCTAGAATTTCAAAGTAAAATCCATGTAAAGGCTGGATGCTTTCCGCAGTGGCTGAAATTTCTCAACTGATTCATCTGCTCTTTTCTTCTCATTTATACCCGTCGTCATTTGTCGCATTTTTCAGCTAGCACTTTATAGTTTGGTGGTGGAGCATCAAGTATATATGATATGGCAGGCAAAGGCAAGAATTTTTTCAAAGCAAATGTCGAATGCTTGATTTGGAGAAAAGCTCCACATGAGGTGTTTGTTTTCCTGAAACTTATAATGTGATTCTCCTTAATTATATGTATTGTATAGTTTGATAAATATACGTTGGCTGAAAAAAAGAGATCTCATCTGTCCATATCTTCACAGATAGTCCCTACACTACCACCACATGTACGGGAAAACAACAAAGACAAGCCTTTGTAAAAACCACAGAAAGGTGAGTGTTTTAATTTTATGTTGTCAATACTAGATTGTGCAGATGCATATGTACCTGAGTAATTGTCTCACTGCTTTTTGCTAAACATGGGGAGTGAGAGTTGAGCTGTGCTGTGTCCTCTTTGTTGATTTTGTGCAATGAGGCCATGGTAATTGGCATCTCTAGTGGAGTGTAAATCTAGTCTATAATTTAGCAGGCTAATAAAATCATGGGAAGGCTAATAAGTCGTTTCACCAAAAAAAAAAAAAAAAGAGATAAGTCGTTGCTGACCATGCAGATGCAGATGAGGCTTATGTCAAACAAGTTTCATTCCAAGGGGAAGTAGAAGTGAGTCTAGAGGTGAGCATAGAAGGGAAAGTAATCCAAGTGCCACGTTCCAATTATCTCAATCGGATGATGTTGAGAGCAAGTCTTGGAATCTCTGGGTGCATGGTGCTGGTATATATCCTTGTCTCTTGCCCCTACTAAGCAAGCCTCTTGGACACCATTTTTTGGGTTTGAAAAATCCATCTTTTATTTTGAAAATGGAACTCGGTGGCGCTTGCTAGAGAGTTATTCAAACATTCAAACACATATATACAACTCCTCAATGTACACAACCTTATGTAACCTGATGACATGTTTACTTATTTGGAAAGGGAAGGGGGGAGATGATGGGTGTTAGAAGTAGTAGTTGATTCAATTTTAATTCCTTCTCTCAATTATTGATGTATCTAACGGACGACTTCCTCATTTCAAATAAGTAATACCAAGAACATGTAAAAGAGGAGAAAAGGTAAATTATATAAAAGACTTACCAAGTCAATAACTAATGATGATTACTTTTACTGTTATACGAAATTTGGCCCTACCACTAATTCGACTATAAAAAAAATCTTAGAATTAGAAGATAAACTGTACTAAATTGGAGGTTCGAACCGAAAACCGCAGGATTAGATCTTGTTGGCATAAACTAGGAGAATTCTGTTCTACCTAAGAAAGAAAGAAAGTCTAACGTGTTACATGATAGCGCAGCCATTAGCATTTTCTTCACTAAAGTAAGTATAAGGATCCATTGCTTGCTCTTGCTGTGATGGCATTGGCGTGTTGTTGTTCATATCATTATCATTCCAGTTTGCTCTCCCTTCATCCATCCCCATCGCCGGCATCATGTTCATGTATTGCCCTTGATTATGGTTATAATAATTGTCATACCCATATCCATACCCATACCCGTACCCCATCATCCCTTGTGCTGCTGGGCCCACTGGATAGCTGCCCATGGGCCCCGTATAACAACCACCTATTTGCCCCATCTGGCCCAAATGACCCACCCGGCCCATAAGGCCCATCTGATCCATCTGACTCACATGGCTCATCTGGCCCATCTGACTCATCATGGCCTTCTGAACCATATGGCCCATATTGGCCGTTTGATGCATATCTCCAACATTGCCTCTCCCTTGTGTCCATCCAATTTTTTCTTTACCTTTTTTATCAATCTCTCCCATGCAAACCTTGGGCATCTCATCATCATCATCATCATCATCATCATCATCATCATCAGCATCAGATTCTTCCTCCTCCTCCTCCTCCTCCTCCTCCTCCTCCTCAGGCAATATGAACGTGACAGCTTTTTTGGGTTTGCCACCACCAGCTTCCATGTTCTTGTTGAGTTGCTGTTGTTGGGGTTGGCTTTTTTCTGAAGCCCCTTCATCTTTCATGAGGTCTACGCTATGCACTTTCTTAATCTTTTGAAGCGCCTTAATAATAGTGAGTAGGTTTGAATCACTAGTATTGTCCGCCACTTCCACCACCAACTTGCCTTGGCCGAAATCAAACTCTCTCAGATGCACGCCATCAAATTTCTTCAACACGCCCGTTATTTCTTTCTCCAACGCGCCCGCTTTTTTCTTATCCTTCTTGCATCCATTAAATAATACTCCGAAAGTAAGCTGCCTGCCCATTAATTCTTGTTCGTTGTGTATGTGAGAGAGAGAGAGTGAGAGAGAGAGAGAGAGAGATTGGTTGAGTTTGAGTGAATAATGTGGTGAATTGTAGATAGTTTAACAAATCACACCTCAAACACCTCTTTATATAGTAAACATAACTAATAAACCCCATTTCAAAACGGAAAACATATGTTTCCTTTTCTTCCTTTGGAGAAAAAATAATGCTAGTTGAACAAGGAAAAAACAACACCCTCAAAAGGAAACATCAAGTCCTCCTAATTCATCAGGGAAGAAACAACTTGAATAGGAAACCATCAAGTCCTAATTGATATCAGGAGAAGAAACAACTTACATATATGGTAATATCTTACGAACAAATATATATATATATATATTCATAAAATCTTAAGAACAACTTAAATTACAATGAGGAAAAAAAAAACAGAAACTAAAAATTACATAATTGTGAAAAAAAAAAAAATTAATAATCTCCACAACGGTCAGGAAAAAGAGAGATTAAACCTATAAACTTGCAACATGTATTAGCACACCCGACAAATTCAACTTTTTACCGTCAAGAATTTTACCATCTGCCAGCTGGCTTTTTGTTACTCAGTTTACTTTTCATTTAATTTTTAATTTTTGCTATTTTTCTCATCCTTTTTTATTTTATTTTATTTTTTTCGAATTTGTATTTTCATTTATCTTTGGCATGATTTATAAAGGCCGGTAAACTTATAAAAATATACAAATAAAGGTCAGTAAAAAGGGTAGCAAAATTCCTGGCCAATAAAAAGGACAAAATTAAAAGTTGGGTCCCGGGTTCAAACACAAGGAAGAACTCAAAAAATCAGTCTTCCGAGTCGAAACGAATCCAAATCATTCCGTTCGCGGCTTGATTATAGAATCAGAAAACTGAAAAGAAGAAATCTTTGGTCAAATTTCTAAGCGACTGAGCACCAGTTTTCCTTTGTTTTGAGGTACGATCCTAGGGTTCGCTGCTTTTTTGCTTTCTCTATATTCATCTGAGAATTTGTGCTCATTTTTCTTAATCTACTATGTTTTCTCTGTTTTTTTTTCCAGTTGAGGAGATCACGATTTTCTTTTGGGTTATGTTATGTATTTCTTGAATGTGAAGGATTTTATTATTAAGTTGTCAGTTGCCAAGGAAGAAAAAGGTTCATGAATCAATTGATTTCTGTCGTCTTGTTAGATTAGGACCCATTTGGCTGAAATTGGGATCTCATTATGGAATAACAAATTGGTTTATTTGTTTATTTATTCTTCTGGTTTCATGGGTTCTCAGATAAGGGTAAAATTGATTCTTTCTGCCACCCCAATTACCTGAAAGTAGGGTTTTTTGAGTTCAATTGAGCTTTATTGTGTAGCATGAGTTGGGTTAATGTGGGTTCAACGACAAATTATTATTACTTGTTGATTCACCAATTTACCCTCTTTGATTATTGGGGCAGTGCATAGTTGTCCTGCGATTACCTCTGTTTTGTGAGCTCATTCTTTCCACTTATGAATGCTTTCTGCCATGTGCATATACTCTTTTTGTGCATTGTTTTCAATTTTGTGGTCTAGAGCATAAATTTTTGCTTTCTTATCTTATAGACAAGGAAAATGTCATCATATGAGAATGTTGTTGGTGGGAAGCTGAAGCTTAAGGGGAAGGCTCTGGATGTGAAGGCTCCTGGAATGAAGAAGAAAAAGAAACATAAGAAACATCAAGATCAAACATCTCTTGTCATAGAACATGAGCTCTCAGCTTGTAAGTCATCCTTTTGATATCAAGTTGAAGTCTTCTTTCTTTTTTTTATTTTCAAGTTTTAATAAGCTGCCTTTTTACCTCTTTTTATTGTCATGCAAATTGAGAAAAGTTTGGTCAGATACGTGTGTGTAAAAACACAAACAGAAATGAAGAGAACTGTTCTCTAACTTCAGATTAATTTTTAGTTTACTATATGTTTTATCAATTCTGTGCATGATCAATGGTTCTGGGATCACCAGTACCCTCCAGTACTACTGTAATTCTTAATGCCATTACTACTGAAATACTTAATGAACAGTCAATGATGCTAATTTCTTTGATTTGGTCATAGTATCATTATATGCAATGTAGTTTTTCTTACTAAGTAAGAGCCAACCTAGTAACAAAATTTGATACTGTTTTTGAATTGAAATATTACGATGATGTTTATCTGGGTTCCTTTTCATCATCCCATTTAGTTTCCAAAATTATTCCTTTTGTTTGAATTTAATCATTCAATGGGTATAGGTGGAAGTACAGAACTATCAACGAACCCTGATGAGGAAGAAATAAATGATGCCAACAAATCAGGTGAGGAGGGGAAGGCTCCTCATTACGATGATCATCTCACACCCGCAGAGAGGCGATATATAGAGCAGAGAGAGAGAATTGATACGCATAGGATGGCCAAGACAGCGAATAAATCCCACCGTGACAGAATTCAAGACTTCAACCAGTATCTGGCAAACATGAGTGAGCACTATGACATTCCTAAAGTTGGCCCTGGCTAAATCTGGGAAGTCGTTGAAGATGAAAGCCAAAGGATCAACCATCTCATTTGTCATTTTGAAGCCAGTGCTATATGTATGCTCTAGTTCATGTGGACATCGAATTTACGATTTGTATTCTATATGGCGGTTTCTGTTCAGATCTGTGTAGTGTAGATTGCTAATGACATTTTATTCGCACCTTGCTTTTGTGGTACCAATAACGTGTTTAGCCCTTATGAAGTTTGCATATCCTTCAAAGCCTTCATATTCTACGACCATCTCAATTTCATTGCCAAGCTGAAAAGCAGTAACTTGCTTCCTAGTAGTCTCTTCGTGTCTGGAGGATGATTACACGGCCTTATAATCTCTCTTTTGTTTTTGCCTGGTGAATGCGTTTTAATCTTTCTAGCCTGCTCGAGATCTAGCAGGTAGCATGGATATTTCTTGTCTGGTTTAGGTGTACAAATTAAGTGGAATTGATCACTATAAAAGTCACGTATAGCTCATGGCCCTTCAAAAAGGTCATGGGTTGGGGCTTTGTAACGCAAGCATGCTAAGGGTAAACATCGGGAATGTGCTAACTAATAGAAGGTACCTTGTTGATTTACCGAGCTTTAGGTTTGGAGCTAGAACAACTAATCACTTCTTCCACATCCCAGCTATACAGTGATTCAAACCAAACTAGACACCTGTCTCAAATTATTTTCCGAATGGTGCAACTCAGAGAAAAGGATGGGAAACAGAAGCAAGTTTTTGGTGAGACATATAACACCAGCATGTGGCTTTTCATTCCGCTCATGATTTAACACGTGTACGTTGATTATACCATGCGACCGCATTACAATATTGCATTAATGTATCAGAAAACGGACGGGATTTTTGGATCATCTTAATAAGGGCATGTTTGTTATTCCTTTTACTTTTACTCTGTGTGCCTTCATTTCCAGACTAAAATAGACATGCAGAAGAGAGAAATGGCCAAAGGAACCAATAAATGACAAATGGAAATCATACATACCTTATTGCTTAAATACATTAATAAGGAATGGGATCTGGTCTCTTATTGTGGGAACAAAAACCCCAAGGGAATGACAGGAATACAATAATTAAAACTATAACTACACATTCCAACTAGAACTGCCACATGATCAAAGCAAAAGTGGTGGCACAACAAAACCTAAAACTGTCGTTCTTCAGGCACAACAAAAAGAATCCACTGTAACTCAAACTGCAT